AAAAAAAAAAAAAAAAAAAAAAGGATGCATGCTCTTTCAGAAGAGCTCTAAACACGAGAGAATCTGCTCTGGGCGATAGTAAGAAGTGCGCATGACCCACGGTGCAAGGTACGGCTAGGTAGCAGGGTCCCAACACACACTAATGAGAAGACAGCCGATGCGCTCCTCCACTGATGTGCTCCTCCACTCCTTGGTGGAACAGGAAACTACCTTCCTCTGATTGCAGAAAACCTTAGTGAGTCTTTCTGTAATTGTATCCACAGTTACAGAAAGCAATGTAACAAAGCCAAAGACAAGAACACCTCATGTAGCAACTTTCTGGGTTTTCTTTGGCGCTGTAGGAAAGGGGTGGGGCTGGACCTTGGGTTTCGGGAATTAAGAGAACCACGAAGGCCAATTACAGCCTTCTCTTTGATTAATGTGAAAACTGGTACAGAACAGACTCACTCTTGCCAAAGTCATTAGATCCTTGCTGAAACAAGTAAGCCTGACAGGGCTTCTTCCAAGAGCCTGAATTAAGGGCCGCTTCTCAGAAGGGCTATGACTCTCAGTTGGATCTTGAGACAAGCCAGGCAGGAATATTTTAATTAAGGCTTTGTATAAAATTAAAGTTGGAATAAAGAGATGATAATAACTGATTCCTGAGAGATACTAAGTTACCTATTGGTCTAAGTAGCTACTACTACATTTTATTTACTGTTTGCCATGAATTGCTCTGAGCATTTTATATACATATCAACTCTTCTCCCTTTCACACAACCTTATGAACCCTGCTTTTTTATTATTACCCTTGTTCACATAGAAGTGGAAACACAGAGAGGTCAGAGGACTTATTTGAAGTTGTGCAGAAGACAAAAGAGCTCAGATTCAGTCTCACATGCTCTGGCTCTTGAACCTGTCGGTATAATTCTGGGCTTTTGTTGTTACTATAGTTTTTCTATTCTTTCGAGATAGGGTCTCACCATGATGCCCAAGATGACCTCAAACTTCTGAGCTGAAACAACCCTCTTGTGTGAGCTTCCTAAGTAGCCGGCACCACAGGCTGTTCCCTCACACCAGCTCCAGAACCTGTACTTCTATTCATTATTCTCTAAGGCTCCCAGGTACTTGTTCCATTTAAAATTGTGCAGCAGAATCCCTGGTGGTCTAGCGGTTAGGACTCACACCCTCATTTAAAACTGTTCGCCATCTTGCTCACGGTTAATGCTAAATGCAGCTCTTCATCTTAGAGGGAGATTTCTTTCTTTTTCTTTGCAGTGCTGGGGGTAGAACCCAGGACCTTACACACACCACACAAGCACTCTGCCAGGCAGCTATACTCCAGCTCATGGGTGATATTTTTATGAATAAGCTCTGTTCATAATTGTCTGAGACATATTCGTGAGCTGTCATTGCCACCTGGTGGTAATATGACTCAGTCACAGGAAATATCTGAATGTTGGAGAGCAACCTGTTAAATAACTGAAGATGCAGACCTACAGCAAAAACATGCAAGCATGACAGCCCAGGTCTGGAGAAGACACATGTCCAGGACTGCTTTGGCTCCTACAAGACCTGCTTGGAGTGCTCCGGGTAGACTAACTAAAGAGCTGAGGGCAACGTGGGATGCCTGGATAGCTCAGTGCGTAGAGCATGAGACTCTTAAAAAGCTAAGGATTTGTCCTTCCTAATTTTAGGCATTTCAAACAAAACGTTGTTCTCTACATAGGAAGACGAGGAAACCTTTAAAGCACAAATGGAACTGTTTTCCACTGATACTACCTTTGATCTGACCCTTTAAATTTCTCCAAGGCTACTGAAGACAAATGATCACAGAAATGAAGGGCTGAGATGAGGGGGTGACCTTGGAAGAAAGTGAGGCCAAGTGAATCTGATTACATCTTGTATTATTATCTTAATTAGACAGATAAGGCATACACTGGCAAAATAGTCTCCTTATATTCAAGGATTATCTCTAATGCTTCTTTTATGTACCTTTATCACACTCATCACTTAATAAATGCTTTTTAAATAAGACTGAACTATCCTTTCACTGAGATATTGATCTCTGTTTGATAAAGACGTATCTCTTTTGTGCTCCCCATCTATTCCAGGAGGATTTCAGTTCATAATAAGATATGAGGGGCTGAGAGATGGTTAAGAGTGCATACTGCTCAGCAATTAAAAGTGTGTGCTGTTCTTGCACAAAACTGGGGTTCAACCCCCACACCCACATTGGGAGGCTCACAACTGCCTATAACTCCAGTTCCAGGAGATCTGACACTCTCTGGCTTCCATGGGTACCTGCACACATATGGTATGTACAGAGACAGGCAGACAAATACACATAAATAAAGATAAGTAAAAAGTTTTTAAAAGAAATGAGATGATAAAACTAAGATTATGAATTAAAAAATAAACTAAGTCTCTTCACATCTAAAAACTAATTTTGAATTATTATTTAATAGTACGTAGAGTTACACACACTGATAAAATACCACAAATGCCATAAATAACATTTATGACATTATGACACTGTCATTCTAAGTAGCTAGCACTTTCACTATAATCACATTTTTAAACAACTAGATACTTGTCAAGCTGTGACAATTTTCCAGATGTACTCCTAGAAGAAAGCAAACAGCAAAAAGGTTATCTTCTCAAATTCGTGGTTGGAAGAGACGCCGTATCCATTGCACATAAGTAGAACATTCCACAAACCATCAGAAATCTTTAAGGACAATCCTGTGTCAAAGTAGGTGAGAATTATTTCCAAGAACTCGAGACTTCAGCTTCAGTTCTTTGAGGAGACCATAGTTTGGGCAGGTGACTAGAGGCCAACACTTGAGTTCAGTCCCTGAAGGAACCATAGTAATGACCTCAAGATTCCTTTTAGATTCCCAGGTAGCAACTCTACCCTTCAGAGGATTATGGGAAATGTGCTAATGGGAGGATGAAGAGTACACAACCAGCCCCCTTTGCCTGCTTCATCAACAACTACATGGCCTACCTGCCCTGGTGCTCAGCAGGAAAACAAAAATGGGCTGCTGTCCAAAGTTCTTAATGGCCAGATGCCTCTCTTCTCCTCTCACAGAGCCATCCACACGCTCATAGCTGTAGCCTTTACAAGAGGAGACAACAGAGAAACCTCAACGCCTTTTCAAGGATTCTGGGACAACAACAAAAATCAGCCAATCCAAAAGATGTCAGTTGGACCCTTTCCATATGTCCCTACTTCTAATAATTCCCATGGGAAAATGAAGGGAACCATTCATCATTTTACAAAAGGACACAACACACTCATACTCTGAGTCCTTTAAACACATGTGGTTGAAGTGGAATTAATATGCAGTTTTGACCAGTCCCAAGCAACCCCAACGTCCACTCTATGGTAGTCTGCGTTTGATGAGATACAAGCCCTGGGGGCAGGTGAAACTGTCTGGTGGCCAAGTGTTGCCCTTTCTATGAAGCCTGAGCATTTCCCTCCTGTCACCATGCTTCATAGTCAGAAGGGGAGTTATGAACTGGAATTCTGCTTGTGCTCTAGGGAACCCACAATGTGCCAATGGCATTCGTGCAAGAGTGCACCAGCCTGTGCATCCTGGGGAACCTATAGTGGAGCTCAGAGGCCTAGTCTGGACTAACGTTTCAAACTTCAAAGTCTGGAGCTTATAGTTCTTCACTACTGGGTATGAGATCAACTGAAGTTACAGTTTTTTCAATTAGCACACATACATTTTATTATATATTAAGCAGAGTTCTCAGGTAATGACCTACATTCCCTATGGTTTAGAGAGAAATACCTGGCCCCTTCTCTCCTCTGCATGATCTGTGGGATCTCTGTATATTCATCTTTCTACTGATCCAGAGTAAGTGCTCAGCTGTTGAGATGGACATACGATCCTGAAAGTTCTCACCGAACTGCTATCATACATTTGACATCTCTACATCATTTCCCCCGTCCCAATCTCAGATTGCATCACCAGTGGGGCTGTGGCTGTTTACTTCTGCCCATACTTCCCTACCCACTTCACACGTCACTTCACTCTCCTTATTTTTCGCCTTTGGTTCTGAAGAATGTCCCCACATGGTTTCCTGTGTAACATTCCCACACCTCAATTACTCTTCATGGACCTATGTGACCATTACATCTACAAATGACTGAGGTAATACAGAAGCCAAGGGGAGTCACCTCTGTAGTCCATGTAGTCTTGGAGAATATCCAACATCTGGGTCATTTGGGAGAAAAGTAAAACCCGATGGCCTCTGGTATCTCATCCCACCCTACTCCCCCAAAATGAAACCGGGATGTTCCCCCAAAAAAAAAAAAAAAAAAAAAAAAAAAAAAAAGAGAAACTGCCAGCTCCAGTAATATTTAAGGTACATTTTCCTCAAGTAAAACTTCTTTAGCAAATGAATCCAAGTTTATAAATAAATGAAATTCTAAAGTATAAGTGTAAATATAGTTTAGAGCCTGTCTCAGAAACTCTAACTACTTTATATAAAGAATACAACTCCATATGTTAGTCTAGCCTTCAAAGCAGCAGTTCCTAAACTAGTGTGGAGATATTCCCAGGGGCATGTGTCAATGCATCACAGGTGTAAGAAGTCCTGAAATAGCCAAGGAGCCTCTCACTGGACTGTCAATTCATTCAACTGAAAGAAATACAAGTTTTCATATCAACAGCAGGACAAAAATGCATCTGTGCAGAGCAAAGTGTGAAATTTAAATGTGCTGTGCACCCACAACTTCCCCCATACCACAAGACATGGAAGGCATCAGTCAGTTACCTATAGCCATCCTTACTTGGGGAGAAAGTCACTACCATCTACAGCTATACTGGGTGAAAATTCTGAGATGCATCACTTTAGAAAAGGGGCAGGTGGCGCCTCATCTCCCATGATACATGATGAGAAAAGACAGGAAAGGAGAAGACAAACTTATGGATTAAGAATCAAGTCAAGAATTGGGTGAGATCGAGGCCAACTGGTCTACATAGTGAATTCCAAGCAAACTAGGGAGGTCCTAACTCAAACAAATAAACAAACAAACAAAAAAGGTTGGGCACAGAGGCATGCACTTGTAATCCCAGCACTTGGGCAGTAGGGACAGGAGGACCTCTAGGCTTGCTGAGCAACAATCTAGCCTAATTGTTGAGCTCCAGGCCATTAAGAGGCCAGGTGTCAAAGGTGGTGAACAGTGTTCCTGAGGATGATACCTGAGATTGTCCTCTGGCCTCCATATGCACCTGTACACATGTACCTCTACACTCATGGGCACCCACACATACATACATACATACATACATACATACATACATACATACATACACACATTAAAAAAAAAAAAAACGAAAATGGAAGTGATACCCTATTTTAAAAAACAAAGAAGCCAGACATGGTGGTTCATGCCTGTAATCAGCGCTTAGGAGGCAGAGGCAGGAGGACCACCACAAGTTAAGGCTAGCCTGGTCTATATATCAAATTCCAAGCCACCTATAGCTACATAGCAAGAACCTGTCTTTAAAAAAAAGAGCAAAAACAAAAGCAAAGAAACAAAAGAAGTCAAGCCTAGAGTTCCTTTAACTGGACATTATTTTGGTTGTTAGCTTGAGCCTTTCATGGTTGAGCTGTCCCTCCAGCCCTACTGGACATTATTTTGAATTTGCACATCCTGTCAAAATAATATCCTCATTAAGAAAACTAACTCGTCAGGTATGGTGGCCCATGCCTTTAATCCCAGCACTTGCGAGGCAGAGGTAGACAGATCTCTGTGAGTTCGAGGCCAGCCTGGTCTACACAGTGAGTTCCAGGCCAGCTGGGGCTACAGGGAGACTCTGTCTCAAAAAGACCAAAAATAAAAAAGTTGAACTTAAAAGTGAGAACCTCAATTCTAATTGTACCTCTGCCATGTGCTAGCTGGGTGACCTTGGACAAGTCACAGGCCCTTTCTGGGTCTGTGATAAGAAAAAGTTGGGCAGAAAGTATTTATGAGTTCTCCAACTCTAACAAGCAGATATATCAGAACCAGTAAAACACTGCATGATGTGCAATTATTTAACTTAGATATTCCTAATGTTGGACAATTTTGCCAAATCTGAAGTTTTAGGTTAGTTTAGCCCATTTCTGGGGTAGCTCTTCAGAGACAACTTTGAAATAATTGAGAATCTAGGGTTTTTCTAGTTTCCCCCTTCTTGATATTGACTAGGCAAATGAGGTACAAGCTGGTACCAAGGCACCAAACACTAGACCTGATCTTCTGGTGCCCAACCCATGCTTCTGGGAAAGAGGTCCCCAGGTTCCCTTTTACAACAAGGCCCACATGGTAACAAAAAGGAATTCTTACTGAGCCCTTCTGATGTACCAATTCAGTACAAGGTGCCAACAGGAAACCACAGAAGGCTGGAGTGATAAGGTTAACCATATACTGATGAATCAGAGAGAGAGGACACCTAACTGCTGCAGGAATTCAGTAACAAGGATGATCAAGGAAGGGGGAGGGAAAGATAGGAGGGCACGGGCTAGAGCAGTTGCAGAGAAGGCAGAACCTTAATCAGAGTCTTGAAAAAAGAAAACTTGATCAGTCTCAAAAATATGAGTCACTTCCTTATTACTCAGGCTTCAATGGCCACTAGCTCAGAGCAGCAAATAGGACCCCACTGCCTACCTCGAATACAGAAATGCCAGCAGCTTGTCCAGCAGGTGAAGCTTCCCACTAGCCTCAATCAGGTGGTCTCCAACTTCAAAAGGCTCTGGTTCCACACCTGGGAAAGAAAGAACCTATTTCTGCTAACATGTCCCTAGTAGGAGCAGGCTCCCCGAGGAGAAAAGCCAATTGCTGGGCTACAGTGAAAAAGCCCATGTTCCTTCTACTGGGTAACATGCCCAGGTTCATCTCTGGTTGAGGAATTTTATAATTATGGGTGTGCAGGACAATCTCAATGCTGTTTAACTGCAATCACAAAGCCTGGCATACTCCAAAAGCCTAATGAGTGCAGACCTGAGGAGCAAACCCCACCCTTCAGGAAACTAAAGCATGGTAATGGTCAAGGAAATCCAAAACTGGAGTCCTGAGGCTCTCCTGGGAAGCAAATAAAATGTACAGCCCCTAAGGTATGGGGTAGCAGTCAGAATGACCTAGAGGGCTTCCTTTATGATCTGCATGTGCCTAATATCCCTCCCCCTTGAAGCAAACAAACAAAAAACCAACTGAACAAACAAAAAGCGCTAATGTGCATCTAATTAAGATTCTGTGAAAATTTTATACAGTTCACAGCATTAAGATTCCCTTAAACCGACTGTAGCTAGTCCTTTCTATACTGAGATCTCTGTGACCAGAGGTTGTGAAACTGCTCCACGGGCTTCCAGTCAGAGTGTATTTAAAAGTCTCAGCTTCAGTGAAAAGGAAAAAAACAAAAACAAAAACAGTAAATTCATAGGCCGAGGCCTACAGCAGGACTTAGGAGAAACTTACAGAACTGAGTAAGACCAAGGGGAAGGGACAGACGGCTACAGACATGGCGGGAGAAACAAGACAAGGAGAGTGAGAGGCCTGCAAAAAGGAACGACAACTGGGCCAAAGGTTTCCGAGGGGTTAACTGAACTACGAACTTGGACAGCCATGGAGGTCACTGGTGAACCTGACACAGAGTAAAGGGCTGACTAGTAGATTCTAAACAACAGAAAATCTAATCGTGAAGAAATGCTCAGACTATGACACTCTACAAAGCCTTTGGCTTTATTCTCTAAAATCACCCTATCACGAGAAAAAAGTTAAGGAAAAAATCTTCAGAACATTTCTAGCTTCTAGAAGAATAAAGAGAACAAATATGAAGAAGAATATATGACTGGGTTTTGGTTAAAAAAGAAAACCATAATCTAAAAGGCTATTAGGGAGACGTTTAAATGTGAATACGAACAATTTGTTAGATACATCTTCTTGCTGGTTTTGGCCGTTAAGACCATTAATAAAAATAACATGAAGAAACAGGGCTTGTGTATGAAGTTGTCAAAAAATTGAAAAATTACAAAAGTAAAAAAATATTAACATATAGGGAGAAAGCGTACTGCCTCACCATCAAACAAATACGGGTGATCCACACACTTCCGAAGCTGGGTTAAGATGTTCTGAAGCTTGACTTTTTTTGCTATCTCATTTTCAAATGCATCTGAAAAGTTAGACAAGGGAAGACAAACAGACTAGCAAACCAGCCTCCCCGTCATGTTTCCACGACCTGACACACGTTTCATCATGTATGATTCAAACCCGTATTAACTTCCCAAACTGTACTGAACTGCATTAAGAATTAATAGTATTATCTGTATGAAATTTTCTTAACCGATACTTTTTTAAAAAAGGAACACTAAACTAAGGTATAAGCTGAACTTAGCAGAACTTTATTATTCTATTATCAAAATTCTAAATTTCCTTCTCGAACTGTTTTGGAGTCAAGGAACAAATGGAAATCCAAACTCCTGCTCTCCCTTCTCACTCCCAGTTCCTCCCAGTGAAACTGATCCGACAAAGTTCTGCAGAATGGGATGACAAAAGGCAGGACTAGGGCACTTAAAAGTGCTAAGGAAAATAGGGAGAGCAAAAGGGAAACTTTGTGATTGTACCAACCAATCCTGAGCCATGATTAGGTCCTCTGCTTCAGTGCCACTGCAGCTGACCTGAGACCCACTCAGAATCTAAGACTTCACCCCTCGTTCCTGTTAGAGGGTGTGATTATAAGGTACTTCCTGCATGAAATCACACTCATTCAGTTTTTCAATGGGTGCATCCCCTTGATTACCCAGGTCTTTCATCAAAATGGCCTTGTAGTATTTTTTCTGCAATGCTGACATGCCATGGTACATTACTACTTCTGTCTTCTTGGGAAGCTCCGTGGCCACCTCGGCTTTCACTCGCCTCAGGAGAAATGGCTGCAACAGTCTATGTAGTTCACTTGCTGCGTAAGAAAAAATTAGAGTGTGGATTCAAGACATTAAACAACTGAAAATTATATAGTTGTTATTTTTATTTCTCATTTTCTTATTAACTCTGTGTTCTGCATCAGGATAGTAATTTTTTTTCATATTACAGATGCTCCTGGATTTTGAACAGGGCTATGCTCCTATGAACCTATCACAAACTGAAAATGTCATTAGCTGAAAAATGCATTTAATATACATAACATATCAAACATTATTACATCCCAGTCTACTTTAAAAGTGCTTTTAGTACTTATATAGTCTACAGTTGGGCAAACTAAGTTAACAGAAAGACATTTTACTTAAAAAAAAAAGTGCTGAGGGGTTACTCAGTACATTAAGGTGCTTGCTGCCAAGACTGCCAATCTAAGTTCAACCCCCAGAACCCACAGAGTAGAAGGAGAAATGCCCGAAATTTGTCCTCTGACCTCCATACATGCGCCTCGGCATATGTGTATGTACATATACACACATGCACATACGGTAAATAAATGTAAAACTAAGTTTAAAAAGTGCTGAATTTTAGGGGGCTGGAGAGATAGCTCAGTGGTTAAGTGCAATGACAATTCTTGCAGAGGACTTGGGTTCCATTCTCAATACCACATGGTGGCTAACAACCATCCTAACTCTAGTTCCAGGGGATCTGATGCCCTCTTCTCACCTCTGCAGGCGTTGCATGACACAGGTGCACTTACACACATGTAGGCAATACACTCATACACATAAAACTAAAAAAATAATAAATAAATTTTAAAAAGAATGCTGAATGTTTCATATAATTTGATAGCTGTAGTCAAACAATTCTGGCAACATGGGGCACTATGAGGTATCACTTACTCTCATAGTTCATTGGGGAGCTCTGAGCACTGGTATAGCCCAGCATGACAAAAGAAAACCTTGGGCTAGAGAAATGGCTCAGTGGTTAAGAGCACTGACTGCTCTTACAAACGACCCAGGTTCGATCCCACATGGCAGCTAACAACTGTCCAGTTCCAGGGATCCAATCCCTTTTCCTGACCTCCTTGGGCACTGCACGACATGGGCACACTCATGCAGGCAATAACTCATACGTATAAAATAAATAAATATAATTAAAATTTAAAAAAAGAAAAACCTTATGACATATTCCTATTGAGGGAAAGGATCAAAACTCATAGGTTTTAGGGCTGAATAGTATCCCATTGTACATATGTACCATATTATCTTTATCTAGTCATCTGTTGGTGGGCATTTCACTTAGCTTCATATCCTGACTACTATGAACAGTGCTACATGTGGCTAAGGTTTCATTTTCTTTGGACATGAACCCAACAGTGAGATTGTTATATTGTATGCTAGATGCATTTTTAGCTTTTTATTTTTTTCTTGGAGACAAGGTCTCACTATGTAGTCCTGACTGGCCTGGAATTCCCTATGTAGACCAGGCTGGCCTCAAACTCACAAACATCCATCTGCCTCTGCCTCCCAAGTGCTGCAATTAAAGGCACACAGCACCACACCCGGCTTGCATTTTTAGCTTTCTGATGCACCTTAGTCCTCTTTTCCACTATGGTTGCACAAATTTATACTCGCCCATTAGTGTACATGTTTCTCTTTTTCCACATCATCACTGGCGTTTTTTTGCCTTTTGGTAACAGCCATTTCATTGGGGTGAGGTGGTGAATCATTGTGGTTTTGATTTGCATTTTCCTAATGATTACTCATTGAGCACTTTAATACATTTAACAATAATGTGTTATATAGTTCAAAGGAGTTAGAAGAGAGTATTTTTATATGAGTTTTCTTCTTGGACAATTTCATATATGTATATAATGAATTCTGGTAGAAGAAAACATCTGAGGGCATTCACCATAATAAAGAAATAATAACAGTTTAACTGATGATATGCTAATTACCTGAATTGATCACAACCCACTGTATACATGAATCAAACCCACAGAATACTACGTGCCAACAGAAATTCAAAGCTCAATGCAATTTCTACTGAATATGCATTGCTTTCACTACATCACAAAGTCAGAAATTTCTGCTGTGCCACCTGAAGTGGGTTTCTCTCTCAAAAAAGATTTATTATTTTAATTCTGTGTATGTGTGTATGTCTGTGCACATGAGTTCAAGTGCTCCCAGAGGTCAGAGGCCTCAGATCCCCTAGAACTGGAGTTAAACGTGGTTGTGAGCTGCCTGATGTGGGTGCTGGAAACTGAAGTCAGGTCCTCTGCAAGAGTAGCAAGTGCTCTTAACCACACAGCCATCTCTCCAGTCCAAGGGGAAGGCCATCTTCATTTCTTCTTTCACTGGGTTCTTCATCTCAACTCCTTCTTGAACTATTACTGGTGCTTAATCCAAGAACTGGGAACACTTAAAACTTGATTCTTACTAATAATCATATTTCCTTGAAGTTCTTTTGTTCCCAGTGGAGAGCAATTTAATACACTCATGCTCATATAATAACTGACCAGATGTCCTCTACATGTCTGGCAACTCTACCCACAGGAATAACTAGAGCAGGTGCCCCAGGAAATCTTTAGCCTGCGGTATGGGGATTTCTTTGGGAGAAGCCTCTCCAGCTCACACTTACATATGAAATCATTAGACTGCCTGACCATCCTAGGGTGACATCACAGGGACATTCAGATAATTCCACAAGGCAGAATGGCAAAGGTGTGAGAGAAAGCTGCCATCACATGACCACCTTCTCTTTCTCATTTCTACTTCCCAGTCACCTCAGACACTGGCTTTTAGTGTTACAGAACACTGAACAATGGTTTGGGACTACAATATACACTTTTCTACTTACAAAACTGAGCTAAATAATCCCCACTGTTGAATCATTTAACAAAAAGCAAGAGAGTCATGAACAGCAGACCAATGAAGATACACAGGCATCCAGCATCTGCCTTCTGTCTGTGGCTCTTCCCCTCCCTGGAAGGTATGTTCTGGTATTACCCCTCTTTCTTTCTACCTCAAACTGCTATACACAAGGGCAGCTTCTGGGCCAACACCTCTTGGGGATGACTTATAACAAAGGAACCTGCCTGATTTGGATTCTTTCTCAATAGCCTGGTAACGTTGAACAAAATCTTCCACCTGCTCCTTGTTGAAGACATCAGGCTCCACAACACTGAGGAGCGCGTAGAGCTCCCGGAGGCTGTTCTGGATGGGAGTTCCAGTGAGCAGGAGGCAGAAGACCACTGAGAACTGAAGCATACAAAGAAAAAAACATTAAAAATCCCCACCCTGAAGGTTCAGCACCAAGAGGTATGCTCTGTTTAATGAAGGAAATAACTACAGTTCAACTATAAAAAGGGGATGATAATCCTACACAGTATCGTAAGGATGCAAGTAACATTGCTTTATGATCGTATTCAATAAGGTTACTGCTATTTAAATTATTATGTTGCCACAGACAGGCACGCATGTGGGCATGCACTTTGAGAAGCCAAAAGCTATAGCGTCAGGCCTCTCCACTACAGGCAAGAAACAAGATCTGTACTACAACAATGCCTTTTTGGAAAGCTTTATGGTATATCAAGACTTTTGGATGTTTCCGGACATCCTGTTACACACCGCCCCAAATGGAAAAGACTTATTTAAATTTTTGGAAACACATGATAAAAACAAGAACAAGAAACTTCTTATCAGTAACTAAATACTTATAATTTATAATAAAAGGCTAAGACAAACAATAATAAGGCCTTCCTCCTTGGAACCCCTCCCACTCTCAGGAGCTGCTTCTCATTTTTCCTTAGTAACTCTGTTTGCTCTGCTCAAAACAAAAATAATAACAAAAGATATTAGACCAAGGACTGTCAACCTCTGAAATGACATTAACAAGAACTTAGACCATCAGAACTAATGTAGCAAAATAAGAATGCATATCCTACAGATGCATGTTACATACATACACAAAATACAGTGAGTACATCCACAGACAGACACAGGCATACATACATATGCATATTTTATGTTTAAAACAATGTTTTTATTTTTAAAATACTCATGTAGGTGATTGTGTACACTCACACACAGCACAGAATACAGCAGCACGTACATATATCAAGTGTTAATGTAGAAGTAGGGCTACTGGGGACTTTTCCTTTTCTTGTCTCTCTAGATTTTGTCTAGGGAGGGATCAGAAGACAGTGCTTTTATAAAGTAATAAATATATAATTAATTAAAATTTATTTAAACATTTTTTTTTTAGTTTTCTTCTTTTGTCTCTTTTTAAAATGCCCAGTATCTGCCCATTTATGCCGACTCTGCCTATCAGACAATGTTTTTCAAGTTATGACAACTCTGGGGACTGACTTTCTTTTTCAAAGCATGCAATAACCACAATTTGCAGGGTATGTTCTAGCAAAGAGCTGACGAGATCAAGAACACAAGGCCACAAGGTAACCAAAGGGGCCATTCCTGATAATCAGCTTTTCCTATGATACCAGTTAAGTTGTTGATTTGATGTAGTGTCCATTCTAGCACCAAATCTTATAGCTGGGTAAAAAAGATCCAAAGACAATTTGTCTTTTCAGCACTTCATAAGCTTTGTGAATAAAATATTTTATAAGCATCGCCCGTGTTATTAGATATTCTTCTTCTGAATGATTTTTCATGGCAGCTTTGCTGGGTGAATGCTCTGTAAGGAGGACACATAAATGACAGAACCAACCCTCCGTTTTCACATTTATGTTACTTCCAACATTCATAAACAAATGGAAAACACTATTAAAGAGGAAAAACCACACAGAACTGCCCCTTCCCACCTCTCAGCCCAATAAATAAATGTATTTTTCTTTCAACCATCTAGTGATCTGCAATTCAAACCTCACCTAAAAAGGAATGCTGTAATGACTCAGAGAATCTTCCTTACTTCACCTCTCAGAGCAAGCTCTGAAGACAGCAACAGAACTCAGTATCCCCACTTCAAATCCACAAATCCGGGTTCTTTTACTACATCTGCCTCTTCACCAATTGCAAATTAGTAAATTGCCATGGTAGTTTATGGCAATCTTCTATGAGGACAGATACTTGGACTATGACAACTGCTATATTTTGAATGTGCTCCCTCCTAAATCCACATGTTGCCAACAGTATTAAGAAGTAATTAGAGCATGTGAGCTCCTTTCTTGTGAAAAGGATCAAAGCCCTTTTTTTTTTCTTTAATATTATTTTTATGTGTATGTGTGTACTGCCTGCATGTAGGTTAAGTGCACCCGTGTCGTGCAATACCTGCAGAGGACAGAGAGGCTGTCGGATCTCTTGGAACTGGAGTTATGGACAGTTATTAGCTGCCGTGTGGGTGCTGGGATTTGAACCTGGGTCTTGTGCAAGAACAGCCAGTGTTCTTAACCGCTGAGCCATCTCTCCAGCCCAGATAAAGGCCCTTTTAAAAGAAACACTGGGCTAGCTTTTCTCTTCTCTCCCTTGTCCTTCTGCCATATAAGAACATGGTACAAAGGCCCCAGCACCTTGATCTTGGTTTTCTAGCCTTCGGAACTGTGAGAAATAGATGTTTCTTCCTAAGTTGCACCATCTGTGGTACTGTGTTAAAAGTAACACAAACAGACTAACATAAAAACCTCTTGGGAAAGAGACACTGTTAAGGGTCTCTGAAAGAAGGCAGTGACAGCAGAAGCAGGGGATGCCCTACCAGGGGCCAGCAATCTACAGACACCGCATCTGCTTTCAGACTCTAAAAACTGCAACTTATAGGTCAGTGAATGTAGAACCAAAGTCTAAGGTTTTCTTTTAATTTAATTTCCTTTATTTAAGGTCTGAATTTAAGCAATTTGTTACAGGATGAGGACCAAACTTCATCACCACAAAAACAAACGAGGCTCATGAATTGAATAAACCTTTAACCAAGGAGAAAGATATTCCAGTTTTCATGGGTTTCTCAGGAAAAAAAAAAAAGTCAAATCTGGCCGAGAATATTCTAATCTACTTTTCCAGAATAGCACTAGAGTTCAAGAGAAGAGAATGAAAACAGATCAAACTGTGAAATATGACAAAGACCAGACAGCATAAAGGCGCTGTTCACTGGTCTTCATGGCTCCATGTAAACTATTAAGTTCTTTAAAGAGGTAAACTTGGTAAAAGGTACAATATACCCACTATGTCTGCTCCTGCAATTAGGGAATTAAAATAATTATTGCTGTAAAGAAATGGAAGACAATCAAAAGAAAGTTAAAGCATTTCCAAAAAGATATACTGTACTTTATTGGGGTGGGGTCTGATACAATAACCAGATTTTAATAAACATTACTTTTTATAAATGAAAGGGGGAAGGATATTAAGTACTATTTCTGTACCCAAAACTCCCAAATGTTCACTTAGTCTTTCAGAAATCTGACTGAAAAAAATAGCTTCAATTAAATTGACTCTATTAAGGCCTAAACTAACTAAAAAAAAAAGTCTCACTATACAACTGTCCCATATCTGCCACCTGAGTGCTGGAATTATAGGCATGTACCAGACCTGGATAATAGTCTTTTAAACAGCAATTTAGGGGAAGGGGTGACTAAGTGGGACACTAGAGTATTTTTAGGGCAGTGTAACTACGATTTGATGCATGGACTCCAATGGTAAAGGGATGAGGTACATTTCTTCCAACTCATAGAATGTATAACACTAAAAGTGAACCTGTAAGGTATGGATTCTGAGTGAATGTCGACATGGGTCCATAACTTGCAACAAATATGTTGCTCTGGTGGCAGATGCTATGAACGAGGGCATTGGTGGGGAGGCGGTAGGGAATATAAAAAAAAATCTCTGTGCCTTCTGCTCAATTTTGTTGTAAAGCTAAAACTGCTCTTAAAAATACCATCTTGGGGCTGGAGAGATGGCTAAGCAGTTAAGAGGACTTGTTGCTCTTGCAGAGGACCCAGGTTCGTATCCCAGTACCCACATGGTGGCTAACAACCATCCATAACTCCAGCGCCAGGGGATCCAACATACTCTTCTGACCTCTGAGGGCACTGTATGGCATGGTGTATTTACAAACATGCAGACAAAACACTCATACACATAAAAATAAAATACATAAAAATTTTAAAATTTAAACAAAATAAAGTTTAAAATACTGTCTTAAAAAGAGGGTGAGTTACATGAACAAAGACTATCCTGTAAATTTACCTCTGAAAGTGTCCTGTGCAGCAGGGAGTTTTGGTTTTTCAACCTGTGAGCTTCATCCACAGCAAGAACACTCCAAGAGAAGCTGAGGGAGAAAATTCCAACATTCAGTTTTGTATAACTCAGCCTCACAACTGCCTTACTGTAAGATTTCAACTACTGTTAAAAAAGACTCAGAGTAAGCCTACTGTTCTAGAAATACATCCGAATTCCCTCCTAATCAGAGGGAGCACTGTGTGCATAAGACACCTAGATAACAAGTGCATGCAAGAGTTTTTTTCCCCCAAGATGAAAAAAACTAAGTGGAAAGGCAGGAACCATAGCCAGAAAGAGAGAAGAAACGTTTAGAACCATGTACCAAATACTAAGCTTGTAACTGCATTGTTTAGTCTATTGTGTCAATGAGAAGATGAAAGCTCAGAAAGGTGAAAGGTCAGGTGATTTGGTTAATGTCATAAAAACAGAACTGAGATTCAAAACCACAAGAAAAATGGAGAGAGTCACGTTGTAGTAACCAGAGAAACTGGACTGTAACATGGAGAAGCGGTGAACAGAAGCAGATGTTACAGAGATGTCCAGAATTATCTCCACTGAGTTTGTGGAGGTCATTGGTGGCCGTTGCCAGAATGTTTTATAGTGCAGTAGAAACAACAGAAATGTATAGACTTTCCATCACAAAAGCACATACACACACAGACATTTCTATATTGAATGCATTTCAATATGCAGTTCAGGCCAGCCTCAAACTTGCAATCCTCCTACCTTAGTCTCCCAAGGGCTGGGATCATAGGCAGATACCACTATACCTTGGCTATAAAAGCATATTTCTGACAAATATTTGGGGAAATTGTTTCAAACCTCCTCCAAATATGGAAATATTATAGAAATATATATATACATATATATGTATTATGATACATTATTTAAGACAGCAAAAAACTGAAAATAAACTAAATAATGATAAGTGATAAAATATATGATTATGCAAAAAGGCCCATATGGCCATTTTAATACAAACACCTGTCACCCCAGCACATGGGAGGCAAACACAGGAGGAGGAACATCATAACTTTGGAAGTCAGCCTGATTTACACAGCAAGTACCAGGCCAGCTAGAGCTACACAGAAAAATCCTATCTCAAAAATCCCACACTAAAACAAACAAATAAACAAAAAACCCAAACTAAAAAACAAACAAAAGATATAAATCTTCTACGTCTTTTAAAACTGTGAAAATAAAGTGGACATTGCTAAGGTTTTTTTTTTTTATTTTGTTTATAAACATTATGTAATCACATTACATTACCTTTATATTTATTTTTTTTTACATTTACTTATTGTGTGCGCGTACGTCTACGGGTGTGGGCTCGTGCTTACCATAGTGTGTATGGAGATCAGAGGACAACTTGTGTGAGTCAGTTCTCTCCTTTTACCGTGTGGGTTCTGGGGATTGGACTCACATCCTTAAGCTTGGTAGTAAGTGCCTTTACCCAATGACCCATCTTACCAGTCCAACACTAACTTTGCATTTAAAGATCCAAAAGATTTCTGTTTATATTGTTAACATGCATAGTCTTAAAAGTTCATAACATACTGCTTTAGAACAGACATTATATTACATTTCCCAATATTTTCAGAATGTACAATACAGTAATGGGAAATGTAATCCTTTATATTTTTAAAATATTTATTATTTTTTATTTTATGTATATGAGTGTATTGCCTGCTTGTATGCAAGTGCACCCATTTCATGCAATGCCCGTGGAGGTCAAAAGAGGTCATCAGATCCCCTAGGAACTGGAGTTATAGGCAATTGTTAGCTGCCATGTGGGTGTTAGAAACTGAACCTGGGTCCTCTACAAGAACAGCCAGTGCTCTTAACTGCTGAGCCATCTCTCCAGCCCCACAAGAAATATAATCTTAACAGAAGAATTCATCTATGTCGCTAGGCTTCATATTGAGTCAACATTATAAATATCCCTGTTATTTAGGTGCTTAACTCTACTTAGCAATGAACTCAGAACAGAATCAGAGATAGAAAGACTGTGTTTCTGATGAATAAATTCACTTAAATGAAATTATGGTAAAACAAAGCACTGAACAGAAGTCATAAAAATCTATAACCTAGCTTTCAGTACTTTAAAGTAAGACAAAAACAGAAATCTGTTTATAAGAACCCAAATGAGGGAAAAAAATTTAAATATGATAAAGCACTGTGAACCCAAAACTTCCTAACTATTAAAGACTCAGAATCCTCACCTAACCATGTCCTAACTATGCAGGTTACAGAGAGTGAAACCTTCTCAACATCTCTTCTGCTCTTACTCCTAAACTCTGCTCTTCTTTAATTACATTTAGTACAACCATACACTGCAACAGCCCATCCCAACTATGAGGCAGCACTTAAAGTTAAATCTAAGTCTGAGTCAATATGAGTCCCAAAATTTAACTAATTAGAAGTACACCTCAATCTCCCTTTCCAAAGTTAACTGATGGCTACTTTAGGTTATTTCCTGAAATAATTACTCACCTTTTACATTATAAAATCCCCAAACAGAGGTGGAAAGTATCTGTGCAAGTTGCAAAGTGAAGAATCTAGTATCCACTAATTACCAGCCATAAATATTAAATTTTACTAATTCCATAACAGCCATCCACAGTAAGAAGCTTAATCAGCCCATTTGATAGACAAAGACACTGAAGTTCATGGAGATTAAGGAACTAACCTAAGAACATACAGCTAAAGAGAAAAAGGCTAGAACACAGGACTCCTGCCATGCATGCCTATCCGTAAACAGGACTCAGAGAAGGCACATCAGGCATTCTAGAAAAGAGGCAGAGTACCACAATATAAAGGAAAGACATGACCTTCGTGATTCATTCAAGTTTCCACCATAGGACAACCTACTCACGATTTTAGAAATGAGGCATCTTTCAAGCAAATCTGAAAAATTAAGGAAGACACATTAAAAAGGCTGGAACTGATAGATTCTGATATTAATAAGCTAGATTTCTTGTTCCTGTTAATTCTCATAAATTACAGGATTTTTAAAAAAATATTAATCATTTTTATTTTATGTGTATGAGTATAATGCCTGCATGTAGGTAAGTGCACCTGTGTCATGCAATGCCCACAGAGGGCAGAAGAGGGCATTGGATCCCCTGAACTGGAGTTAGGGCAGTTGTTAGCTTCCCCTAGAACTGGAGTTACGGACAGCTGTTAGCTGCCATGTGGGTGCTGGGATGCTGGGATTCGAACACAGGTCTTCTGCAAGAACAACAAGTGTTCTTAGCCACTGAGCCATCTCTCCAGCCCCAAATTACAGGACTTAAGTCTTACTTGTTCACTAAGTAAAAAAATAAACAGAAAACAAAACAACTTCTGAGTATAATTTCTAAGTAGCACTACCTTACAAACAGAAGGGAGGTATGGTTAAGTGGATGGTCTTACTTATAGTGACCCAGTCTTAGTCTAACAAAAAAAATGAGACTACAGCCGAGTGTCCATTGCTAGCCCCCCATTAATAAACAGAAGCCCCTTTCCTCTGCCTGCCGTCTGTGATCAACCAAGAGACAGCGTAAGTGCCGCAGAGAGGGACCAATACATAACTAAAGCGAAGCTCAAAAACCCTTCACTTCTATGGTCAGAAGGTCGAAATTCAATGTGACAAGGTTGAGTCCCTTTGGGGAGTAGCGGGCAGGGAGTTGGGGGGGTGGGTATTCTGTTTCAATATCATTTCAGTGGATTTAACAACTTGTAAGGCCCAGGTTAGGAGTTCCTGCTATAGAGAAATAAACAGATACCTCATAGGTAGTTAGCAGCACATGAAAACCAGACTCCTGTTTTAGGTCTTGCTGCAGGCAGGCTCTTTCCTCCTTATCACCTGTGTATGTGACACAGGAAAGACCTGGAGCAAATCTAGAGCCGAGAAAAGAGGCAGACAGCCCAGATGTTAGGGTCACAGGACAGGACAATTATCTGGAAAATCACATGTCATGGAAGCAATGCAATGTACAGATCTCATGTGATCCTGTACCAGGAAAGAATCCTGGGGGCTCCAAATTATGTCTAGAGTCATGGATGAACCTCAGGATCAGGCCCCAGTGTAACTATCTGGGCATCAGAGAATGGTCTAAGAGGGCTTTGTATTGTCTTTAAAAAACTGAACTCTTTCCATAGCAATTACTTCCTGCACCACCATAAAAAGGATGGCTCTCCTTTAGCTCAACAAAATTAACTGAAAATGAGTACTGAGGCCAGGTGTATTGGTGCACACCTTCAATCCCAGCACTCGGGAAGCAGAGGCAGTCAGATCTCTCTGAGTTCAAGGCCAGTCTGGTCTACATAGTAAGTTCCAGGCTAGGTGGGGCTACAGGGAGACCCTGTCTCAAAAAGACCACAGGAAAAAAAAAAAAAGAAAGAAAGAAAGAAAAAGAAAAAAGAAAGAAAGAAAATGAGTACTGACCTTTAAATTGTCAAACAGTAGCCACAACATCTGGTAGACCCTCCCCCATCAGTCCCCTGTCTCCCAACCTTGCTCCAGTTCAGAGCTTTCCGTAAGTTCATTAACTATGATAAGACATTATCATTTTATCATATTTTACATCATCCAGAAAAATATCTTAAGCAATGTCAACAACAAAATTTCATTAGCGTTGCCTCTGTACCTCTCCAACTCCTCTTTCCAGTTGCTCAAAACAGACAAGGGGCAGAGAATCAGAAACGGCCCTTCATCATTCAATCTTCCCACCAAGTAGATGAAGAAAGCAATAGTCTGGAACCAGAAAAAGAAATCAGTTTTGATCCTGGTTCCTCATGAGAAACAACCACAAAGATCCCACAACCATAGGGAACCACACACTTACACACAACTTGTTTTACAATGAAATTATGCACAATCTTCCTCACGTTAGGGGGGACTCCAATCCTAGACTAAAATCATGTAAGCCTGGGTAAACTTGCCAGAGGAATTTATGGTGTTCAAATACTTCACTAGTTAGCAAGCAATGAGGCTCAGTATTTATGTAATTGAATCTCTAATGTGAAAAAGAGAGCTAGGAAAGAACAGAAATCAATGAAAACAAGGGCGCGATCAGATCTCTGACATTCTAAAACAGAGCCAGCAGTGCCAAAACACCACTGTAAAAAAGACCAATGAGGTGGCCACCTGTTGCTGGCTGGGCTCCCACGACAAGGATGCTTCCCTTTGTCTTGAATGCCTTCCTCCTTTCCCCCCATGTATGGGTTCTTATGAGTACTTTCTTTGGGCTGTGTTCCTCCAAGCCCCAGTTATACAACAGCAAAAAAAACAAACTCCTTGCTCTCCCGGAGAGCACACTGTAATGGAGAAATCACAGTAAATTATCTCATGAGTGAAAGTAAAGATATAAAATGAAAGCCTTTGAAAAGCAGGAAGGGTTCCTTATGGACACACCTGTATGTACTTGGAAGGTGCTGTACTACACAACAAAAATAAACAAGGGCACGTGAGGGGACACCATGCCCAAATGCTGGGCTATTTCAGAAAAAACAATCTATTCTAAGGATGTAATTCAAAATCCTGAATCCAAAATGCCAACCGGTATTCAAATCAAGATTCCATTACACAGCACAATAAGGGGAATTGGCCTATAAAACATCCCTCATGTATAAAACATTTAAGGAAATTATGATAAATTTTCCTGATGGAATATTATGTTGGAAATAATAACTGCAAAATAGAAAATTCAAAATTACTATGGCAGCATCATTTTTTGTTGTTGTTGTTGTTTTTTTGAGACAGGGTCTCCCAGTAGCCAGCTGGCCTGGAACTCACTATGTAGACCAGGCTGGCCTTGAACTCAGAGATCTGCCTGCCTCTGCCTCCCAAGTGCTGGGATTAAAGGTGAGCGCCACCACACCTGGCATTTTTTTTTTAATGTTGCTTCTTTTTATTTATTTGTTTATCTGTTATTTTTAAATCTTTCTGAGACAGGGTCTCCCCATAGTCCCAGCTAGTCTGGAACTCACTACGTAGACCAGGCTGGCCTTGAACTCACAGAGATCCACTTGCCTCTGCCTCCCAAGTGCTGGGATTAAAGGCTTGTGCCACCATCTGCTGGCAGTATCGTTTTAACAACACACAAATTACATGAACTACATGTGCGCCATATCAGCCTGTAAAACACAAACTGCTATTCATGACTGTGGTTGGAGTGCTGGGATTAGAAAGTGACAATTTTAAAAATATGATTATATTCATTTTATAACAGAAATAATTTTCTTTTTAAATTACTTATGCAACTGGACTTTCTAGCCCAAACTGTGCCCTTCTCACAGTGACTCAGCTGAACTAAAGCCACTCTGTTTAGCTGTCCTAAGGAGGCAAGTTAGAGAAGGTTTATTTTTGTTACCATAAACCAGATATGTAGGCCCTAGTGAATTCTACCAAACATTTAAGGAAGAAGTGGTATAAATTTTTTATAAATTCTCCCAGAAAACTGAAAAGGGCCTGCTTCTCAGCCCATTCTGAGGCTAGCTCCTACCCAGTATGAAAACCAACAAAAACATTACAAGGCAAGGAAATTACAGACACATAATCTTCATGACCTAAATGCAAAAATTCTAAACAAACTTTATCGAAACAAATTTGAGGTGACCTATTTTTAGGGAGCTTAAAGTAAAACCGAAAGGCAAAGGGAAGCGGAATTTGCTGACTCTGGATGAAATCAGCAGGACAAACCCCACAACTAAGGCAAAGGTGGCTGAGGGACAACCCTTCACTGATGGAAGAGCCTGTAAAACTTGGTTCCTAAAGGCCACAGGGGACTGACCTTTGTTCTAATTGTACAGTTCTCAGTTTAGGAATGTACAACAACCAGGTTTCTTGGCTCAAGAAACCCACAAAACATAAGAGAGTACCTCCAGGTGCCCTCTTCAGAGGTCAAACAGTACTCTGAGTAATTAATTCCAAGATTGATGAGAGAGGCACGCCTGGCTTAAATGAGATAGTCTCCAGCATGTGACCAGGCTGGCCTATGTACAGAACAGCTGCAGACTGAGGTTCATGGAAATAGGGTGAGACTGAGGTGTGTGTAAGTTGGGTGAGTCTTGGAGGGGGCAGTTAGCTTCTAAAAGAACTGATAAGAACCTTGATGGCTCCTGTGGTCACTGGTGAAGCCTTTCAGGGTTGGAAAAAGTTTCTCACCATCGTTTTTAGCTAAGTTACTGCCTTTGCCATGTATCCTGAGCACACTGATTTGCTTTGGTATCCTACTGATTAGTAGACCTTGTGTGATTAACTCCAGGATGTGACTGAACTTTCTGATCATCCTGAGAGAAGCATCAATATCAACATTCTACCCCTTGAACAACATCCAAAGAAACTACATCTGGTTCTCCAAGTCTCTGGGCCTTCTCTTGCCTCTTTTTAAGATCATTAGTTGGCTAAGTCAGTTTGCAAACCATACAGTACTGCAACTGTACTTTTCAACCATGGTAGAGAACTGGGAAGCAGATACCTACATAGAGCACTGTTAAAGAAGTCCAAGTCAATTTGATCCCTGGGCAGGTAGTTTCTCTACATAGAGAAAAGGCCTGGGTCAGGTTTATTAACTACACGCTTCCAACTAAGAAATGCCTTCTCCCAGATACATATGAAAAACCAGGTTTAATAAGGGTGGTAGCAAAATTTAAAAAAGAAAAAAAAATTAGAAAAAGGAACTCCAGGGTTATGATCCCTTAATAAATTATTTTAGGCGCTTCACATTCTAATAGGGAACACATATTGTAACTAGCAGGTAAAGATGGCAACGCACCATGAGGAGGTATTTCAGTGGCGGAGAACAGGGCTCACTTCCCAGTCACATACCTGGCAGGTCTTACCCAGGCCCATCTCATCTCCCAGGATGCAGCCATTTTGGCAGTGGAAGCACTGAGCTAGCCAGTTGACTCCCTCTAGTTGATAAGGGCGTAGATGAATGCCTAGAAACAAACAAAAAATACAGACAGTCCAAAGAGAAAACATTTCAGCAGGTACATAAGTTAAAGTTCTAAGACTGAAGGAAGTGGCCTAAATTCCTGTAATTCCAAAGTTTACCAGTCATATTGTTTGCTGAGAGATTTCAGGTAAGTAAACATATGCTAACTTTCCAGTTACTTTTTAAGACTTAGCCATCCTCTATCACCCATTCAAAGTCCTGAAACAGACTGGCATTGTTACCAAATCCACTTGAGAGAGGAGAAGGTAAACTTGGGTTTTGACCGCTACAACTTCTACACTGCCCGAGTCCCATACCAGTGTCCATTCCTGAAAATGAGGCATTACAAACAACTCACCAACAAGCAGCACGTGGGCTGTGCATGTGCTTGCCGGGAAAGTTGCAGACAGGACTCCTTTAAATTATGCTTCAACATAAAAGCGAAGCAGAGAATGGAAATGATAACATTGCTTTTATGCTGAAGCATAATTTAAGGAGTCCTGTCTACAAAGGAGTGTTTCACAGTTACAGCTTGAAGGAGAAATGTCTTCCACAGGCTCATTTCTCTGAACCCTTGGTCCCCAGCAAAAGATGCTGCTGGGGGAGATTGTGGAACCTTCTGGAGGAGGGGCCTGGCTGGAGGACGTAAGGAGGGAAATAGTGGATGGGCATTAAGGGTTACAGCCCAGCTCCAGTTTTGGCAAGCTCATGTGCAAGAGCAGTACACGCTCTTAACCTCTGAGCCATCTCTCCAGTCCCTCAAAGCTCAATTTTTTAAAATGATATGAAATTATGTCCACAAAGATAACAGCGCTAATATTTAAGAGTCAAATGTAAAAACAGAAGATTTAATATAAAGAATTAGAATTGTTGGAAGGACTGCAGGAGTCACCTCAAGGTCAATTCTGGGTAGAAAGCAGAATCGGTACCACAGAATTGGCCAACCAGCAAAGTACCTTCCTCCACGACCAGGAAGCCAAGGACCAACCAGAAGGCCATGGCAACAACCGTCAGCCCCAGAAACCTAACACCTCCCACTACAATCCAAGCCAGCAAAATGGATGCTCTGCACCCAGCCCAAATCCCACTGGTAGCAGCCAAGAGGGGTGCAGGAAACCTGCTGCACACTGTGGCTTTTTCCTCACCAAAGCCCATGCTTGCCTGAAGCCAAGTCATGACAGAACAGCAGGGAATCTAGAAAACAGTATTCTGCTTTCTAACCTCAAGGATGTGAATTAGAGTCTCTTTCTCAGCTCTCAGGCAGAGGACCAAAGTGGCAATGCAAACAAAACTGCCTGAAGGAACAGGTCTGCATATTCCAACACCAAAAATATCTTTATGGTCCAAAGACAAACACCAAATGACCAGTGAGACTAGTAACCAGACAAATATGACATTAAATAATAAAACAGCAATTTTAGCTTCTCAAATTAGAAATTACCAGTTCTGCTCAACATGAAGAAAACCCCCAAATTTTGTACTCTTTGTTCTAGAAACAGCTTAGTGGATTTAAAAATCCATACCTATAGACCAATGTGGTGGCACACACCTTTAATCCCAGAACTTGGGAGGCAGGGGCAGGTGGATCTCTGTAAGTTCAATGCCACCTGAAGTCTGGTCTACATAGTTCCAGGCCAGTTGGGGCTACAGGGAGATCTTCTCTCAAGAAGACAAAATTTGGAAAAATCTAAATCTATAATAAACATTTGGTTGTGAGGGTATCTATTATTTATTATAGCAAAATATATACAAAAAATAAGTGTGTCTGGAGAGATGCTCAGCAGTTGTTAAGAGCACTGGCTGCTCTTACAGAGCACCGAGGTTTGGTTCCCAGTATCCATATGACAGCTGTATTAGTCAGGGTTCTCCAAAGAAACAGAACTGATAGAATGAATATACACGTACAGAGATTTATCAGCTTAGCTTACAGGATGGAGACCGACTGGTCCAACAATGGCTGCACCATACTGGAGAGGCTGAGAATCCGTAGTTGCTCAGTCCACAAGGCTGGATGTCTCAGCAGTCCCAATCTGGCACTGAAGGTCTGACAAATTCCAAAAGATCAGCTAGTCTTCAGTCTACAGCAGCAAGATGAACTCCCCAGCAAGAGAGAAGGCAAGCAGCAAGAAGCCTGGCATTCTCCTCTGTCTTGGCCTTTTATATGGGCTGCCATCAGAAGGTAACACCCACATTTAGTGTGTGTCTTCCAGCTTCAGATGATCCAATCAGAAGATCTCTTTCATTTCAGTTAATCCCAGATCCAGTCAAGTTGACACCCAGGATTAGTCATCACAAATCCACCCCTTGTCAACTTGACACCCAATAGCATCTCTCTATGTCATGCTTGATTTTCAAATGAAAACAATGCTGAGGTCATAATTTCACCTAACATGATAAAACTATCCCATCATACAAAGACCAATGCATTATATATCTTAGAGTACATGATACAGTCTTCGAGGAATGCTTAGTCCTTTAGTGTCTCATAACCTAATATGATCATATAGGTTCACAACACTTAACCACTTAACACTTATCTCAATTACACATTCAAAAGAGAATAACTCAAATATCTGCTTAACATATGTGTATACATGCACAAGCCTATTCTTAACCAAATAAGACAAAAATACTCATGCCAATTACAATCCACGTTTCTGCAACAGGTCACATGGCCTAAGTTGGTATTTGTAACTGCCTTCCTCTACTACCCATTCTGTATTTCCTCCACCATTAGCAAACACCTCTGCAGGTCTTGGCTCTTTCCCTAGAGAAGTAACCCATACTTTTATCCCTGAAGAGTCTGGGCCATCTGTTGTCCTGTCTGGATTGGGTTGTTGCAGTTTCCCATTGACCTTAATCACAGGACATGGTAACACCAAAAGTCACCCTAAGGAATCTCCTGCCTTCCAGATATAATCTTCATTACCTCCATTGTGGAGAACCAGTCCAATTTCCCCCTGGTAGTCTGGGTCAATCACCCCTCCTAATATTGTTATTCCTTTCTTAGCCTGCTGACTTAAGGGCATCAGAAGCCCAAAGTGTCCAGGGGGAAGTCTTAGCTCCCAGTTCAACAGAATGTTTTTTGTCTCTCCTGGCAGAAGCACTCCCTCCTCTGGAACCAAAACATCCAAGCCAGTAGAGTGCAAAGTTGAGGGTATGGGAAGCAAACATTTTCATAGTGGGTCACCAGGGGTGAGAGTGAGTGGAATCATTCCCACTTCCACCCCTTGTTTCCTGGTCCCATGAATCCTGACTGTAGGAGAAACTGTACCATATATTGGATGCTGACTCAAAGCATACACTGCTTCTGGAGGACCCTGCCCCAACCCTCCAGGCTATTGCCACCTAATTGGCATTGTAACTGTGTCTTTGAGAGACCATTCCATCGTTCTATCAAGGCAGCTGCTTCAGGATGGTGGGGAACATGGTAAGGCCTGTGGATTCCATGACCATGGGCTCACTGTCACACTTCTTTGGCTGCGAAGTGAGTTCCCTGGTCAGAAGCAATGCTGTATGGAATACCATGACGGTAGATAAGGCATTCTGTAAGTCCCTGGATAGTAGTTTTGGCAGAAGCACTATGTGCAAGAAAGGCAAATCCATAACCAGAATAAATGTCTATTCCTGAAAGGACAAAACGCTGTCCCCTCCAAGGGAAGTGGTCCAGTGTAGTCATCCTGCCACCAGGTTGCAGGCTGGTCGTCACAGGGAACAGTGCCATAGTGCGGGGTCAGTGTTGGTCTCTGCTGTTGGCAGATCTGGCACTCAGCAGCAGCTGTAGCCAGGTCGGCTTTGGTGAGTGGGAGTCCATGCTGTTGAGCCCATGCATAACCTCCATCTTTGCCACCATGGCCACTTTGTTCATGGGCCCATTGAGCAATGACAGGGATAACTGAAGAAAGAGGCTGATAGTCCACAGAGCAGGACATCTGATCTACTTGATTACTGAATTCATCTTCTGCTGAAGCCACTTTTTGATGAGCGTTTACATGAGACACAAGTATGTTCACATCCTTTGCCCATTTGGAGAGATCTATCCACATACTTCTTCCCCAAATGTCTTTCTCACCAATTTTCCAATCAAGCTCCTTCCAAGTCCCTGACCATCCAGCCAAACCATTGGCTACAGCCCATGAATCAGTATATAATCGCGCTTCTGACCATTTCTCCTTC